GCAGCATCCACCTGCACGCACCCAAATTGGCCGGTCCCAGGAGGCACCGCAGCTGTGGAGGGAAGTACCAGGCCTCTGCACACCTCAGGCAGGCAGGATCCAGGCAGGAGTGGGGAGGAATGGGGAATATCAGTCTCACTGCTTTTCTTGTGCAAAGCCTGCCTTCCCAGGATGCTGCCAGGCTGCCTGCAGGGTTTCCTGCAGAGTCACGGAGCTGCATGGAGCCTGGTGCTTCACTCCGTGGCAGTAGGGGCAGCAAACTAAAACTCCTTGGAGAAGTTTTAGTTTGCTGTTCCCCAGGTCATTTAAGGTGAGTTATGCTGCCGAATTTCCTACAGCAGCTGTAATTAATGTGCAATATGCTGCTGAGGTGCAAAAGCATTTAGCCCACTTTAAAGTGTAGTGTACACATGTCCCTCATTTCATCTACACATGGCCTTAGCCTACAGTGGGCTTAAAATTTTATTTATTTGATAGACTTCTCAAAGCACTTCCTGTTGTAGTGGCAGAGACACTATTGTGTACAGCTCTGTACAAACACATTAAAAGCCTGCCCCTGCTGTAAAGAGCTAACAAGCTGAAACTATTTCAACTTTATCTGAAACATGACATATAAAAGTGTATTTCAGCAGAGGCATAGCTAGCTATTTCTGTGCCCTGGTCAGGGGTGGGACAGGGAGGAGTTTGCACTGAGTGCAGATGAACAGGATGGGGACACAGACAGAATCTTACCTGCCATGGCATAGGCTTGCCCAGGAACTGGAGGCTCCTGCCACAGGGTGTTGGGGCAGGTGGCAGCTCTGGAAGGGTTAGTCCAGTAGTTATTGGCTGTTCAGCAGGGAAAGGGGGAATGAGGCTAACAACAAAAATCTTGCCTCCATTTGTGCAGCTGGAGCTCTTCCAGCCCTTGGGTAAGCCCATGTTGAGCCCAGCTTCCGCTCACCCTTCTGGCACCTCCACCCATAGTGACTGCCTGGGGCTCATGCCCCAGTTGTCCAGCCCTAGTTACACTTCTGTATTTCAGCATCTTTCCAGTGTCTCCCTTTAGAAGTTATAACTTACATTTTAGGCTAACGAAGGAAAGAAAAGCTCTGACCCCTGCATCCAGCTTCTCTATATTAATTTGTTTTTGTTGATGTAGGGTGAATATCTGATGTTGCTGCCTGTTTACAATGATCAGTGCCCACAATTTGTACTCAGAAAACAAAGCTCCAGTATGCAACCTTGAGTTGCTCCTGAGTGTCATTTCTAAAATAAGCTCTCATATCTACGATAGAAAACTTTGGCAACATGCCCCTGGGAGTCAGTTTTGCAATTATATCTCTTCTTTTTTTATATTTGTCTTCAGTTATTTTTCTAACCACAAACAATTTACATTATCTTTTTCTATCGGCATTAATTTGCTCCAGTCACTGATTCCCACTCCCCACCCACGTGTCTCTAACCCCAGTGTTACAGGCAGCATTGCTATTTCAGGTGGAAAATAAGCAATAGAAGTAAAGATTCCATTGTCATGTATATGAATCTAGTAACAGTAACCAAATGACCAACTTTACCACCAGACTGCTCAGAATATATATACAAATAAAACAGTTTTTAATATTTTCCCATCAGGGATAGCTGCTCTTAAAAATTAAAGCATTTTAGTGATGGAAATTTAATTTTAGCAGTGAACAAGAGTTACTGGAACCATGTGTAATATACTTGAATTTAGACTCTTTAATTTAAGGACTTTTGAACTGTGCAGCCAGGTTTTCCGCTGTTCATAAGCATTGATATACTTATGCATAAAGAGTTTTACTAAAGTAGCATAGTTTTTTCCTGTGATGAATAGGCATTGCAAGTATGAGGATAGTGATGAGATGTTGCAAACCCATGTTTATTTAAGTTGCTTCCTAGTAAACAAGTAAAGATAATTCCCAAATATTGTAGTAGATAATTTCAGATTGGTGGTTGTTTTCTAAGACAAAATGTAATAGCTTTTGTAAAACTGTTTTTCATAAATCTGTTTTTCAGATTTGTATTATATCTATTGGAACAGGAGAATTATTCTTATGCATTTGAACATTCTCTATTCAAAATGTTAATATACCTACCGATTAAGAAAGATAAATAACATTGTGATTTCATGATGCTTTCTTTAAACACATACATTTCTGGACTTTTAAGGCATTCTCTCTGTTTTCTGAATCAAATACCAGCAGTGGCAAGACTTGAATTGCATTCTACAGTGTGGTAAGGGCTTAGAATATTGTCCTGTGGTTTGTTGAACCAATGTGCCATCAATATACAGGCAAAACAAGTACTTCTGTTATAGAACAAAGGTAACAAACTGGCAGGTAGCAAATGCTGTATGTTAAGTTAGAATTTTGAAATTATATTTTTGTAATGGTCTGATGTGATATTAATTGTAAATATTATTTTATGGTGCAAGTGTGAACCTTGTAGTCATTGGATGTTAGAAGACAGGGAACCCTGCTGGATGATGGCATTTCTGGATGCATATAGTGATGATTTGTTCCAGCAAATATGTGATTTACCTTCTATTACTATTACTTCTACAAGTGAATCAATCTGAATAAAATGGAAATGGTATGCTACAATACTCTGCTTTGTTTTGTAGTTGGTGAAATAAATCATTTCTCAGACCAGTATATAATGATAAACTCTAGGGCCAATTGCAGAGAGCCAAAATCTAATGGATTCCTAAAATAGCTCCTTTCCACTGGAGGAACTAACGGAAATATTCCATTGAGGAATTAATGTTCTAGAGACATATAACTTCAGCTGTTAGTAACAGATTATTTGGGGTTTTCATATGTTGTTAAATCCAGTCTTGGAGTTCATACTTCCAGTACTATCCTGAATGATTGTGTTATCATTTGGACTGGATTATTTCTTCTGCTGACTAAGCCCTATTTCACTACTTGCCAAAAGACATGCAGTACCTTCAAAAACTACTGCAAGCTGTGTAATTGGGTAATGCTCAGCCCAGGCTGATGTTGGCTAATTGAGTCAAATATTCCATGGGAAACTGCTGTGACACCACATTTTGTTCATGTGTGTTGTCATGCCTTTTGTGGTTTTGCTAGTGGAGGTTGTTACAAGTCATGATTATGAAATTAAGATCTGCCCCTTACAAAGTGAAGGGGAAGATCTTTTCCTGTTAATATCATTGCAAGATTTCTATGACATTTGACGAGTAATAGAGAAAACCATTCACTGTACAACATTACAAACACCTGAGATATATTCTTGTAACAGTTTTCCAAGATTTTTTTCAGTAGTTGAAGTTTCCATAACTCATATTGGGAAAGAATATGAAACAGATTCTCTTTTTCTTCATTGCATAGAAGTCCTTCCAATAACCTGTTAAAGGATCTTACATAAAAATATTATCCTATTACTTGCATTAAACATCTCTGCTACAATACTCCTGATACAATTTTTAACCATTCTGATATGAGTCAGGGGGAACTCCAGAGAGAGTATAGTGGTGTGGTCACATCACCCATTTGGACCATGCTTTGGGTGCAGCAGCCAGGGACTTTTTTAAATCCCCAAAACAGATAATTGCCCTCTCCCTTCCTTGCCCTCCATACTCAATGGCACCTCCCCTCCTGCGCCCACTGCTGCCCCTGGTTGATCTGCAGATGGGGGAGCTCCAGAGTTGCTTCTGTTCAGTCAGTGTAGGTCAGTGGGAACAGTAGTGGCAGCAGGCAGAGGAGGCAAGGAATGGGGGGAAGCAGGGAAAGGAAAAGCTTTGCAGAACATGGAGAGGAAGGGAGGGTGCTGAGAGCAAGGCAGACTGAGGCTGGAATGTTGCTAATAACACAGCAACTCCAGTTGTAAATTTGCTCCAGTTTTAAGAATTACTAAGAAAACATAACGCATTTTCCTAAAGCCAATAAGTGTATTAAACTTATGCAACACTTTAAATTACTTTTTAGTTAACCCCTTTTTTTTAATCAAAGGCAACTTTTTTTCTTTCCTACCTTAGCTGGTGTCTCAGTTCTAGTCACATACTCATGGGCTGTCTGTACATAGGACAGCCCATGACTTAATTTGTCACTGTTGTTGCAAAGCCAATTTACTTTAAAGGAGCAGGACTTCTTGGGCATGTCCAGATGAGTGCGGATGTGCGGTATGTGGCACTACACGCTGCACATTCAGGCATTCTGTGCACTGATAATTTGCAGCGTGGGGTGGTGGTGGGGGGGTGACCCTGGGAGATCCCTCGCCTAAAATAAATGGGGCGGCACACGTGGCAGTCTGTGCCACCCAAAATCAGAGCCACACTCTGGCTACTGGCCAGGCTCCCTGCTGCAGGATCACCATGACTGCAGCTCCCAGAGACCCCCAGGCTCCCAGGTAAGACTGCTGGGGCCAGCACAGTTGCTAGCCCCAGCCTCCCCTACCCCACCTGGGGCAATGTGACGTGTGCCAAAGCATGCGTGGCATGGGCATTCTCCAGGGACAGGTAGCAGTGGGCACATTGTGCCACTGCTATTTGTCCCCAGGGAAACGCATGTTCCTGCTCATGGGGATGTGCCCTTTTTGTATAGTGTCTTTGTTAACGTGCTGGAGTCAAAGTTTGTGCATTTCTAGAAAAAACAAAAATGAATTTGGAAATTATTCCTGATGATGCCTCAAATAGTCTA